CGGCCAGGATACTGGCTGCTTGTTCGTGGCCGATTTCAGTGGGCATCGATCTCATTACCCAGTTGTCTGTCGATCTCACACTTGATCTCACTTTCGATCTCACTATGGATCTCACTAGAGATGCCACTAAAGATCTCACTATCGATCTCACGATCGATCTCGCAATCGATCTCACTGAATCGCCTCCACTGTCGGTCTGACGATGGACGGTACTATCGTCCTCACTGCCGATCCCACGATCGATCTCACGACCGATCTTAGTATCCGTATCAATGATTTTCAAACTTTCCACTGTTTAGGGGGTTTTGGTCTCGTGTGATTTTGAGGATGTGCGGTAAGGATGCATGGGTCTTGGAAAGCGATACTGACTTTTTTTTTCTAATGGGCATGGGCCGAAGGGGCAAGAATGCAAGGGTAATCTCGGGAAACTGTTCTTCATACTCTTCGTCCTGGTTGAGCTCGTTTGACGTGCGGAGCACCAGCAGTTTCTTGTCCACTTTCATACTCTACTCCTCGTTGATGATGTCGTCACTGGTCATCTGGATCTCGATAGAGCCCCCCCCCATGATTCTGATCTTGGCGGGCGGCTGCCATTTCTCGGTTTTCTTCGTCGGTCTTGCGATGGGCGTAGCTCCTCTGGGAGGTATGAGCTCCATGTGAACGTTGTGCGTGTCGCCGATCGTCCACGTCGTGGTGACGTTGCCAACGTCGTCTGCTGTGTCGGTAGCTACGTCCTTGTATTCCGACACAAGTCCTGTGTGATGGAGCTATCCAGACTGCGCTGGCCATGTGGGTAGTTGCCTGCTCGCGATCCAAGTGTCATTTCCATTGGCTGCCCTGGTCCCAACGGTGGCCAATAAGATGCGCTGCAGAGGCTCAGGCTGCCCATCTCCTCGTGACTGAAACGCGCGCAGGGTGCCTGGCCTCCAGTGGCCTCTCATGGGAGCGTATGTAGGCCCCCGATGGCTGCGGCGCGATGTGGTGGACTTCCCTGGTGATGATGCAGACGTCGGTGGCTGGACGTGTTTCTTTGGCGCCCCTGGTCTCGGTGGCTTCCCTTACGCGCATGCACGTCGTCCTCGCCTCCGGAGCGCGGGCAGCTTCAAGTCTGGGGCCGTGCCCAGGTGGACGAAGCGATCGTGAGGTCCTTCACCGGGCTGGGCGCGGTTGCCGTGGATGGCCTTGCGCTTCTCTGCCTCGAAGGTTCGGCATGTGGTGGCCAGATTGATTTAAGCGCTGTGGACTTGCTGGGGGCTGGTCAACTCCTTCTCGCTGTGGCCCCTGAAGGGGTTGGCTGGCACTGGCAAGGGTGGGTCCTGCATTGCAAGCTGCCTTGCCAGCTCCCATGGCAGTGCCATCAGGGGCTTGGCCTTGCCCTGTCCCTTGTATCTGGCCTGTCCCCTCTCCACATTTTTTCCTGCATGATCACGACCGCAGTGCACGAGCAGACGCATGAGGCCCGTCCCGGGGCACTGAGCATGAGATCCGCTTCCCCTCACGGGGGCTATGAACGAGCCCATCGGATACAGGCACGGGCATGACGGCGGTAATGCAGCGGAGGAGGAGGAGGAGGAGGAGGAGGAGGAGGAGGAGGAGGAGGAGGAGGAGGAGGAGGTATTCACGTGTTTCCTGTCTCCCCTGTCCCCTCTCCACACTGTAGGTGTCGCTGTACATGATGGCGTTCTGGCGGGGTGTGTGTGCGTTGTGGCCGCCCGAGCCCGTGCCTGGGCAGTCGCCGGAGCGGTAGTAACGGTCGTGTCCCAGTGCCTCCACGATGCGCTCGCGGACCTTGGCATACGATCCTGGGTCGGTTGCTGGTCAGTACACCAGATTTCGTAATAAAGGGAGGGGGGTCTCATTTCGGGGGGGTCTCTTCCAGGCTATCTTGGAAGGCCTGGGGGGGTCTGGGGACGATGTTTTGGAGGGTTCTCCCACGGGGGGGGGTCTGAAATGGCTTGTCTTGGAGGGTCCAGACTCCCTCCCTTTTATTACGAAATCTGGAGTACACTAGGAGTCGCATGGTGTTCGAAAAACGTTTTGCTGTAACGGTCGACCGTCTTGGATGCCAGGTAGGCCGGGCCCCCGGGCCCCAGTAGACCGCGATGTGGGCGTACGCGGTGGCGAGCTCGTCGGGCGCCACTTGGGGCTGCGAGTCCTTTTCGACTATACCCCCCTGCATGCCTCGGCAGGTCCGACGACCTCCAGCCTTCGGTCCTCTTTGGGGATGTAGGGCGTAGTAGTGGTCGCCGTACTTGGTCTGGCATCCAGCGCTGCATGTCCTCAGCGGTTGTGCGCTTGGGTCTCAGATCGCCTGGGTTGCCGCTCTGATCTATTGCCCTGACGTGCTGGGCGGTGAGGATGCCAAGCCGGCCCTCGTCGGCTGCCCCTGCTCCTGCTCATCCTCCCTCCATCATCATTATCCTCCTCCTCCTCCTCCTCCTCCTCCTCTTCCTCCTCCTCAATCACCTCCTCCTCTTCCTCCTCCTCCTCCGCTTCCTCCCCCGCTCCTCCTTATCCTCCTCCTTATCCTCCTGCTTATCCTCCTCCTCCTCCTCCTCCTTCGTCCTTCCCCTGCTTGTCCCGCTGATTATCCCTCCTCCCCCCACCCTGCTCATCCTCCTCCACCCTCCTCCATCTCCCTCCCCTCTCATCTTTATCCTCCTCCTTCCTCCATGGTCCTCATCCTCCCCCCCTTCCTGCCCTCGGGCGCTTCGGGCGCTCGCACGCCCCTCTCCCGGGCTCCCACGATCGCCTGCGGCCTACACCCTACACCCCTGCTTCCCAGGCTTCCACCACTGATTATCTTTCCTCCTCCTCCTCCTCCCCATCCTCCCCCTCCTCGTTCCTCGGAGGAGAACAATTCTCCTGTTGGGACGAAGGGGCTGGGAGGATGAAGGATATGAGCAATAGCAACTGGATACAGTGAGCGATGCCTTCCGCCGCCTGCGAGTACTGGTGCCCTCACCTGTCCCAGCCCCATCCTCCCAGCCCGATGGTTGTCTTCCTGACCTCCTCGTTCTCCTCCTGACTCTCTGGGAGCCTGCAGATGAGCCTGGAATGCCGTGGACAACCGCGGAAGCTCGGGGCTCACGAGCCCTGAGCGCGTTTTGGAGACAGGCTCCTTCCCTCTGACCACCTACCAGATCACCCCAACCCAACCCGAAGACCCGAATTTCGGGTTGGGGGAGGTACGCGCTTCAGATGTTTTTGTTCTCCCCGATCCCCCCCCCACCCACTGGAAATGGAGGGCAAATCGGGGCCTTCGGGTTGGGTTGGGGTGGTTTGGTGGGCGGTAACCCTCTGTCACCCTGCGCGAGCGAATTTCGGCGGCGCGTCAATGGGGCAAGGCAGAGGAGGCGGGCCTGAGAAGCCGGCCTTCAGAGAAGCCCCCTAAGCCTCGTCCAAAAAGTCACAGGGGGCTTCACATACAAGGCTGGGGGGCTTCTGAGAAGCCACGCCGCCTTCTGAGAATCCCCTCCCCCTCTGCCTTCACCCCCTGGCGGGCTGCTGATCGTCGATGATGCTGATGGCTGATGTAACCCCCAACGGCAGATCCACCCGCCAGCGGCCCAACTCTCTGTAGGGCCACACGACCTCTGGCCGTATTCCCAGGGACGCGTACGCGGCCTTCGGGGGGGGGGAGGTCGACAGGGGGGACTGGCTGGGGGACAGCGACCTCGAACGGCCTTGCATCGCCGACAGATCAGCGATAGGCCCTCGATGGCGAAGCTGCACACTCCTGGGCAGGGCGGAAGGCCCAGCCCCGATTGGCGATGAAGGGGGCGATCGGGAGTCGTTGCTACAGTTAGGTCGGGCATGTCCCCCTGTTGGCCGATTTCCGACGAAAACTGAAACGTACCCAGAAATACACAAAGTGGTAAGCAATGCTTGAAACATCGTCCCCAGACTCATTTCTTTCATTGTCTTGTTGTCCTTTCTATTTTTGAGTATTCCTCCTGGAGGGGGACAGGCCCGACTTCATGCTACAGCCACCGTGCTGCCCCAAGGACAGCCGACCAAGGAACGAAGGGGGCCTCCTCTGGCCGCGGCTGCAAGCGGCCACGCAGAGGCTCCGGCACCCGGCTCCCAGAAGAACGGCCAGCAAGCCAGCGCCCCCTCCGGAGCCAAAGAGGCCGTGGATTCAGCGCACTCAGCGCCTCCACTACACCCTCAGGTCGGGCATGTCCTCCTACGGGCGGTTTTTCGAAAACAAATGAAGCATAACCCCAAAATAAGTGTAAAAATCATACAAAAATCGTCCCTGGACCATTTTTGGACTATCTGTGAATTTTATTTTTGTAGAGGGACATGCCCGATTTCCCCCCCCCTCGGGGCAGCCCTCCCTGTCGTCGCCCCCGAGCCTTCGCCGTCTCCAGGTCCGCCAGCCGCGGCGCAGGAGGGCCCACGGCCATCCTGTCGCGGCGGCGCCAGGCTGCAGTCCTGCGCCGCGCCTCATCCGCGGCGTGGCGCAGCTGCACCACCCCCGGCGGCGGCGCTGGCGGCGGCTGCCCAGGCCGGGCGTCCCCGCGCCGGCGCGCCACCATGAGCCAGTCCTCCTCCACGGACACGGCGGCTGAGGTGTACGCACCCGAGCTGCAGAGCTGCCACATGAGCCCCGGTGCCATGGGCTCCGCCACCTCGCCATCGCTCGGACGTCCATTCCCCGTGCGCTCTTCGGCCTCGCGCGTGTTTTTTTTTTTTCGCGAGATGACCCCACATGCTTCTCGATGGTCAATTGCCGGGGAAAAATACACACGTCTGAGCGATGCCAAGCCACCTGGTCGGCGAGGACGATCGCCCCTGGGGGCAGGAGCCCGAGGTGCTCGGCGAGGTCCAGGTGCTCCTGGTACTCAGCGCCCTGTTCGGCGGGACGCAAGGGTGGGGTTGAGGCAGAGGTGGGGCTAGAGAGAGAACCGCTTCAAACGGCCCCTGGAAGAAGGAGATGTGAGCAATCGACTGGTGGGCTCGTTCCCTAACCCCACCTTGGGACAACCCAACGTCTACGAACCCCCGACCTGCGGCCCCAGCGCCAGCACGAGCACGCTGCCGGCGCCGAACTCGCGCCCGAGTCGCGGGAACAGCTGCTCACCGCGCCCCACCCACACGCGGGCGGACCCGGACAAGCCGGCCCATTCCAACAGACCAATGGCGATCGCAGCTCTCAGGGCGTCTGCTTCGAACACCACAACTCGGCCACCGCCATGCTGTGAGAGGACGGCTGCCGCCCGCACTGCCGCGCATGCGGAGCCACACGAGCCAACCAACACTATCAGAGGCTGCGACCCAGCACCGCCACCGCCGGCGACAAGCGCGGCTGCCAGCGCCGCGTCCAACGCCGCGCCCCGCGGGCCGGCGCCCAGGCCCAGCACGCTGGGCGCCTCCGGGTCCCCGCAGTCCTCCGCCGCCCGCAGCACCTGTCGGCAGTCGCCGGCAGGCGTAGAGCCGACTAACTTCAGCACCACCTGGAGCTCGTGGCGATACTCCCCTCTCGGCGAGGAGGGCACCGTGCCTTTGCCGACCTCGGCTGGCTTATGCGCCCTCAGGCCCGCCCGCGCCTGCAGGTGCACCGAGATGGCGTCCGATCCGACGCCGATGCGCCCGAGGGCCGACGCTGCCAGGTCTGCCCTGCCAGCAGCCAAGGCACAAGCAGCTGCCGCGTTGCGTGCGGCTGTCGAGCGGCGGCCGTCGCAGGAGGCGGCCACTGCCTCCCACACCTGCGCCTCCAACTCAGCGTCCCCCTCCCCAGCGGCCCCGCACAGCCACGCCGCCCAGGCCTCCAGGCCCGGATCCGCACCCCTCTCCTGCACACGCGCGAGCGCGGCCCGCGCCACCCCCGCGAGCCCGAGGTCGTACAGGGTGCGGACCACCGCCGCGATGTTCTGCTGCCTGCCCTCGCTCAGCTCGCTGGCAGAGCCGCCGGCGCCCACGAGCTCGTCCATCAGCTCGCCTGGGCTCGCGCTCAGCGACCTCGTCAGGCCCGGGTGCGCGCGGGCGCCCAGGCGCGCCGCGGCCGACACGATAGACGCCAGGTGCGCCGGGCCGTCTCGCGCCAGAGTCTCGAGCCCGCCCTGCGTGGCCGCGTCCAGCAGGCAGCCCGCCAGGCGCGGGTGCGGCTGCGGCAGCACGGCGAACGCCCAGAGCGCGCCCGCCACGTGCCGCGGGTCCCACCTGCCCTGCGACCTCGGCATGCACTCCTCGATGGCGCTGGCAAGCTGGCAAGCGCCCGGCCCCACTGCGAGGGCGGCCAGGGACCAGATGATCCGCGCGTGCCCCTCTTTTGGGGGGGAAGGTGCGCACTGAGCCAAGCCTCAGGATCGGAAGCTGGAGCGCGAAGCATCCTGAACGTCCTGGGAAATCTTTGGAGCTCCCTGGCGCACCTGGGAGGCACTTGGAAGCACCCGAGGGCTCTTCAGCAGGGGGCGGTGGCTTGACGGTCCCAAGGGTTGGTGGTGCCGGTGAAAAGTCCCCACAGGGAGGGCCTCTACAGGCCAGTCCTGGGAGGGCCTCTACAGGCCAGTCCTGCGGGGTGTCTTCCCTGGACGCTCTATGGAGGCTGGATGGCCCCTGTGAGCAGCCGGGGAGTCCCCCAGAAGAAAGATTGGATTCACCTGGACCACGGGTTGGTGGTGCCTCGGCGCCCTTCACAATCCTCTGCAATTTTCTTGCGGGGCGACACCAAGGGAGGAGGCTTCCCGAGGCCTTCTGAAGGCCTCTGGGAGGTTCTGGAGACCTCTGGGAGTTTCATGGAGGCGCTAGGAGGTTCCCTGGAAGTGTCTGGCGGTCCTGGGCGTTCCTGGAGGCGCCTGAGAGGTGATGTGCGGAATGTGCCTGTAATTGTCCGCTGCAGATTGATCCTCAGTCGTAAACTCTGCATTCGTATGCAGCGTCAAACGAACGATATCTGCTGCGTGCGCACCTCCATTGTGCGGTGCGCACCCGTGGAGTCCTGGCGGACCGTTTGGGAAGTCTCCGAGAGGTATCTGGGATATGGTTTGTGGATATTTGCCGACCTCTGGCAGCGTACATGTCTTCTTGTTTACACATATATACATTTTAATACATGTTTTCAAATCCACATGTACGCATGTATGTATGTATGCATGTCTGTATGCATACATGTGTGCATGTATGCATGCATTTTTGCATGTATGCATATGTGTATGCATGTCTGTATGTATGTATGTATGTACGTACGTACGTATGTATGTATGTATCTATGTATGTGTGTGTATGTGTGTATGTATGTATGTATGTATGTATGTATGTATGTATGTATGTATGTATGTATGTAGGTGTAGGTAGGTAGGTAGGTAGGTAGGTATGTATGTATGTATGTATGTATGTATGTATGTATGTATGTATGTATGTGTTTGTGCATGCATGTAGGTCTGTATGTATGCATGTATACATGTATACATGTATGTATATATGCATGTATATATATGCAAGAGTGCATGTATGTATATATACATATAGATGTGTGTGCACGTGTGACTGTACGTATACACGCATGTGTGTATGCAAGTATGTATGTGAGTCTCTGTACGTAGGCATGTGCGTACGTGTGTATGCATGTTTATATGCCTGGTTGTATGTATGTATACGTGCCTGTCTGTCTGTCTCTGTATGTATGTATGTAAGTATGTATGTCTGTATATCTGTATGTAGGTATGCATGCACGCATGTATGTATATATATATATATATATATATATAGCTATACATATCCATGTCGCTCCAGGAAGCTGAACATAACGACACCGCACAGGGTATGCAGAGTATGTCGACATTCTGCTGTGGGGGACGCCATGCACGCGGGAAGGTTACCGCATCGTGCAAAGCATGACAACCACGAAGAACATGTTCCCCTGTTTCTCTCGAGTGGGAACTTTGCTCGCGTGCGATGTGCAACAATACACATGGCGTGGGCTGTGCACTGCCGTGCCCCCATGCTGCTGCGGAATTGCTACACGCTAGTGTTCCACTTCCCTGCCATACTATTGCACAAAATGGTGCATCACGCGATGCGCTGTTTGTTTGTACGTATGTGTGTGCGTGTCTTACCCAGTCTGCGCTGGGATTGGACTTCAGTGCCTCTTCGTGGGGGCACAGACCGATCCTCGCCCCCTCTTCCGCGTGTTTACCTCTGCCGTTGCACTTGTCAACGTCGCCGTTGCAACTAGTTCGGCTTCACACCCGCATCGCTCCGGCCCCTTTGGGAGTGCGTGTGTGTGTGTGTGTGTGCGTGTGCGTGTGTGTGTGTGTGTGTGTGTGTGTGTGTGTGTGCGCGAGTGTGTGCGTGTGTGTGTGTGCGTGTGTGTGCGTGTGTGTGTGTGCGTGTGTGTGCGTGTGTGTGTGTGTGTGTGTGTGTGTGTGTGTGTGTGTGTGTGCGTGTCTCCTTGTCGCCTTGAGGAAGCTCGCGTGCGCGAAAACCACTGTCTGGCAGATCCCCGCTCCCCCCCCTTACAGACTCGGGCGCTCTCCATGCTGGCCCTCGCCAAGATCACCGCAGCCGACAGGGCAGTTTTTAATACACAGGATTTTTCAAAATATAGGATTTTTCATGCATGATTAATTTATGGATACATTGATGCATGAACTCATCGTTGTTTTTGAAACTAAATCCCTGCATTTTCCCTACCTAGGCTCTGCCTAGAAGGGTTCTTACTCTCTATCTTAAAGGAGCCGGGCAGTGGAACTCGCCCCGGGCGGTTCCCCCGGTCCCCGCCCCGCGGTTCCCCCAGCTGCGCCCCCTTACCTTAGCTTTGCGTATCTCATCTTAGCTTAGCTTAGCTTCATCTTAGCTTCGCGTAGCTGTAGCTTAGCTTAGCTTAGCTCAGCTGAGCATATCATAGCGTAGCCCAGCATAGCATAGCATAGCGCAGCATAGCACAGCATAGCATAGCATAGCGCAGCATAGCACAGCATAGCATAGCATAACGCAGCAGATCATAGCATACCATAGCCTAGCATCACATAGCGCAGCCTAGCGTATCATAGCATAGCGAAGCATAGCGCAGCATAGCATAGCATAGCATAGCATAGCATAGTGCAGCATAGCATAGCATAGCATAGCAGCAACGCAAAGGCAAAGCAACAGCAGCAACAGCAAAGCAAAACACAAGCAACGCAAATCAAAGCAAATCAACATCAAAAGCAAAGCAAAGGAAAGGCAAAGCAAAAGCAATGTGCGACAGTACGATCAGAGAGCCCACCCGGTGAGCGAATGCAGAAGCATGCGTGTGTGTGTGTGTGCGAAGGCAAAGCAAAAGCAAAACCAAACAAAAGCAACAACAAGCAAAGGCAAACACAACTACGACGATGAGGAGAAGGAGGAGGACGGCGTTTACCGTTACTACTAATGCTGCTTTCCCAGGGGCTCCAACTCCTAGGCAGGGTCGCACTGGGGTAATTCAATACATGACCCGCACGCGGAGCACATGTTAAAAACGGCACTGGAGGGGGCCCAGGCGGCGCCAAACGCCGCGAGGCGCCCCGGATGGAGGCGAGGTGCTGGGGCTCCAGGCGCTGCCTCGCGGCGGCCTCCGCGATGCCGCCGAGGAGCTGCTCGTGGCGCACGCCCGCCCGCCCCTCGTCGAGGGCGTCCGCCTTCGCGGCGCTGGCGAAGGCCCAGGCCAGGCTCGCGAGGTGCATCGGCTCCATGCGCGACCATCGGGGATCCACGGACCCGGGCCAATCCAAGCCCGGGCCAATCGGGCCTCGCAGGATCCCGCGAGATCCGGCAGGATCCCGCGGGAGCCTGCGCTCCGAGTGGCTCCCGTTTGCATTGAGCCCCGTCTCAGGGCCCCCGAGACAACCGCCCTATGGCAGCGCGGGCCAGCAGCCCGAAGAGCGGCTCGTTGCGCTTGCCAGCACGGGCCCAAGCCCAAGCGACGTTGCAGATGTGCGAGTTGTCCATGCCGCCAATCCGCCACCGTGTCGCGAGGAGCTGGGTGGAGCGTCCTCAGGTCCCTTCGGGCTGACAGTGTTGAAGATGGCAACCAGTGGCCGCAGGGCCTCCACTCACGCGCTCTCTGGGGACTTCTTGCGTGACTTGTCCAGAGGACTCGGGAGCGTAGTTATGGATAAAAACTTTTCATGTGTCCTAGGACTGTTCCAGGGCCTGTGCTGGAGCTCTCTTGGGTCGCCTTGGAAGCCCAAAGAGCCAGCCCAACAGGTCAACATCATAGAGCAACCGTGACATGCTGCATGTCTTTCGCATACTCGCCTTCTCCTTGTCAGAAGCGTCAAAGATGGCCCAAGAGGACCCCCATACCGCCCCAATGCTTGCTTCGAGGCCCCCCAAAGGGCCTGAGACAAATACTTCCCCCAAGGGTCTTCACAATGGCTGGGGCAACACGTAGTCCAATAGCTGTCCATTTTGGCACTTCTAAGAGGTAGGGGGCGGCGATGACTCGCCGCAGGCGTCTTCGATACTTGTGGCGACCTGCTCTACTGCAGCTTCGAACACCTCGTCTGCCGGATATCCTGCCGCAGCGAAGGCCCACAAGGTGATGGGCAGCTGCTGCGCGCCAAGCTCCCGGGTGCGGCTTGCGCACTGCTCCACGAGTGCCTCGAATAAGTCCAGGGGGCGCTGCTGAGAGGTGGCAAAGCTCCATGCCACGTTAGCCAAGTTTCGCCCACTGAAGTCAGGCAGCCTGCGCAGGGACTCGGCCGCTATCGCGGCCAGAAGCGGCCTGCGGCCACCGTGCAGCAGCTTGGCGTAGGCCCAGGCGGTGATGGCGAGGTCCTGAGGGCAGAACTCCTCCAGGCGCGCGGCTGCGGCCTGCTGCGCGGCGGCAAGGGCTGCCTCGTGGTTGCACGGCAGGGCCGCGAGCGCCCAGGCGAACGTGGAGATGTCCTGCGGCACCCCCTCCGCGGCACCCCTCGCGGCGAACGCGTCGCAGATGCTCTCGAGGGCCTGGCTCTGCCCACCCGAGAGCACCGCCAGAGACCACGCCGCGTGGCACAGCTGCCGCGGCCTCCACTCCGACGCCGCGGGCACGGCCCGAGACAGCAGCTGCTGGAAGCGCGGGTCGCCGCGGACGGCGGCGGACGTGGCAGCCGACGCCATCGCTGTCTCCAAGACCTGCCCGCCGCTCGGAGACTCCCGCTTGCAGTGCTGCGCGACCTTGTGGATGGCAGTGGCGACATTGTTGCTGTCGAACTCGCTCGCGAGCTGCCCCGCGACCCGCAGCACATCTGCCAGGCTGTTCTCCTTCGCCACCAGTGCCCTGTGGGCGAGCTGCCCAGGCGTGCTGGGTGCAGCGAGCCTTCTCGCCACCTGCTCCTGCTTGACTGCCGCGGCGCGCAGAGTCCCTGCCACAACCGACACGTCCAGTGGCCCCTCCCGGTCCTTCTTGACCGGGTAGAAGGACGCCATTCCCTGTGCGACAGCCCGCGCGCGTGCATCGCTCCGGGGTGCGGCGCCTGCCCCACGGCGCGGGCGCGGCCGCTGCTGCAGACGCCTGCCCTGGAGGCCGGAAACGGATGCAGGAGCCCAGCAAACGCATGCTGGTGACGTCGTGAATATGATGTCCTCAACGTTGACGGTGACGTCAAATCGACGTGAGGCAGCACCAGTCAGCATCGGAGCAGGACACTTGTGAGAGTCGGAAGCTGCATCGGATCGGGCTGCATCCGCACGGAGTCGAAATCGGACCCGATCGGCTGCGCCAGGAGACAAGAGCGCCATGCAAGCTCCGTGCCGCGTCGGATCGGTCGGCATCGAATAGGATCGAGCCTGTGGGAGCCGACATCGAACCGGATCGATCGGATGGACATGGGCCCCCTGGAAGGGGGCACGGGTCCGAGGATTGCAGAGAGGCCGAGCAACGAAGGGGGGAAGGCGGGGACGGGCGCGGGAGTAGGGGTAGGAGGCGCTGCGACGGGGAGCCCTCGTTACACACGCGCCGCGCGCCGCTGGGAGGTTCGCCGGCCGCCATCCGGCTCCGAAGCACAAGCCTCTCACCTGTCCGATCGCACTCTCAGCAGGGGGAACGTCGCGGTGGGGTGAAACGGGTGGTGAAGGGTCAGAAGATTCAGAGGGGGCGATAGACAGGCTGAGGGGACAGGGGGGGGGAAGACCACCCCCCCAGTCCTCCTCACGGCGCCACGACTCCCTATCTGGCAAGCTCCGCTGGCCCCCCGACTCCGGCCGCCCAGACTCGCTTGAGCGACGCAGGGGTACTGCAAGGGCCTCACGCAGCAGGCCACAGCGATCATGGGTAAAGAGCCTGCGCAGGCTGCCAGCGAGGCACCTCACGCAAAGAGAGGGAGGGCACCCCACGCCTGAGCTTGCGCGGGAGGCTTTTGCGCGCCTATGTCTGCGCAGTTGATGCCCTCTTCCTGCGTCGCTCAGCTGACTGTGCGAATCCGCGAGTCTCCGAGTGTTTCTGGTATCTCACACTGGCCAGCCCCGCTCCAGCCCATCCGCCCACAGCGGGCGGGCTGGAGAGCCGCGCCAGCATGTAAGGGGCGCAGCCCTCGATATCCAAGGGCGGTCTGTTCGGGCGACCAGGCTACCATGAAATCTTACTCCTGGGGATAACGCGCGCTGTGGGTGGGGTGGGTCGGCGGGCGGGGCGCGCTGGAGGATAACGCGATGCACCCCTGGGCGTGCCAGGGGGCGCGTTACCGCGCCTCCTGTGCGGACACCAAGCGGACGACGACGAAGACGATGCCAACGGCGACTCTAAGACACCCTGCCAGCATGCACCACGACCGCATGGTCGACGGAATGAGCGTGACCGCGTAACAACACACCATAGGTGTGACACGGGTGCGTTATTTCTCCCCCCATGCGGGCACGAAGCGGACGACGACGACGACGACGCCGATTTCGCTCTGGGCAGCTCCACATGCGCACCCGACGTGTGCAAGCACGCCTACATGCAAATATGTCGGACCCTGCACATCTCCCGATAGCCTGCGAGCGCCACATTTTTCCTGTGGGCGCGAGGATTACGCCTGTGAGCCTGCGAGCACACCACTACGTTTACTGATAGCGTACTTGTGGTTGCTACACGACGCTATGCGTGCGATCACGCGTTCTTGTGAGTACCGCAATGACCTGCGAGCACCAGCACGCCGCATATGAGCACCGGAGTGACTACCAGTGGCTTGCGAGGAGGAGAATGGGGGGAGGAAGTGGGAGGAGGGAGGATGGATGGAGGGAAGTGGATGCTGAAGGACAGAAAAAGGAATCTGTGCTCAAACCAAAAGGTTGATTCCACGTCTGGTGGCGAGCTGTCTTCCAAATGAAGCCCTTGCACCGCTCGTCTGAGGGAGGAGGGAGGAAGAGGGAGGAGGGAGGAGGGAGGAAGGATGAGGGAGGACGGATGGAGGAGGAAGGAGGCCACACAGGCAATTACCCGTTCGCAGTGTGCCAGTGACGAAGCCCCCTGCAAGGCAGCACAGCCAGACAATATATCTCAAAGAGGTCCCCCCCGAAAGGCTCAGGGGAGGCTGAGAAATCGAAGGGGCGAGTGAAGCATTGCAGAATCGGATCGCAAAAGAGGGGCCTGGCGAGGGAGGTAACCAGGATGAGATCCCGCAGGCGCAACTGCGACGAGAGGGGGGGAGGGAGTCATGGCAGAACTGGACAGCAGAGGAGGGGCAGAGGGGGAGGGAGGGGAGCGGGATGAGAGCAGATGGGCGCCAGGGCGACGCGCGGGAGGGGAGGGAAGGGAGGAGGAGCGGCGGCGGGACTCGGGAGGACGAGGTGGTGTGGCGGGGGTGGGGAAGCAACGCGTAGGCTAGGTGCGGCGGCATTTTTAACCGCTGCGTTGGCGCACTGCGCGCTGTGCTCGGCCACGCGCGCTGGAACCTCAGCTGCGCGCACGGCCGCGATGAAGTGACGGATCGGCGCGGAAACACGATCACTGCGGAGAAACTGCTACCATAGAGGGCGCTAGAAACGGAAAGGCGCTCTTGTTGCCCTCCCCTCCCTCCCTCCCTCCCTCCCTCCCTCCCTCCCCTCCCAAAACAAAGCCCTCCTCCTCTTCCTCCTCCTCCTCCTCCTCCTCGCTCCTCCTCCTGCTGGCCTGCTCCTCTGCTCCTGCTCCTCCTGCTCTCCGCTCACCTGCTCCTCCTGCTCCTCTCCTCCTCCTCCCCCTCCCCTGCCTCCACTCACCTCCTGCTCCTCTGTCCTCCGCTCCTCCAACTCTCCTCCTCCTCTCCTCCCCTCCTCTCCTCGTCTCCGCCACCTCGCCTCGACCTCTCCTCTTTCTCCTCTGCTCCTTTCTCTCCCCTCGTCCTCTCCTCGCGTCTCCCGTCCTCCGTCCTCGTTCTCTTCCTCCTCGCCCTCTCCTCGTCCCTCCTCGTCCTCCTCCTTCCTCCTCCTCCTCTCCTCCTCCTCCTCCCTCCTCCCCTCCCCCTCCCCTCCTCCTCCCTCTCCTCCTCCTCCTCCTCCTCCTCCTCCTCCTCTTCCTCCGTAGCCATTTTGGCTCAAGGCTCTGAGTTCCCCAGTGGAACAAGTGGATACCGCTAGTCCGCGGCTAGACTTCCGAGTTCTCATCGCACCGCTGCGTGAGTCGCCAGGCGACGCAGCTGCTTTCCTGTGCTGGTCCGCCCCAGCACTGGACACCGCCAAATTGACACCTGCGGTTGCCCTGATGACCCGTCAGAAGTCGGCCAATGACGCGAAGAATCAGAATCAGAAAACGTCGTACACCACCTGCAGCTCCTGCGGCAGCTGGGCTTGGGATTGGCGCCTTCGGTTGCAGTTTGGGAAGTGCAAAGTCTGCGGCTCTCATGCCTCAAGCTTCGAGAATGCGCCTTGGATCCGCTCGGAACACTCCCGCGCCCCGTGGGCGCACTCTGAGAAGGGCGAGTGGTCGACCCCAGCATGGCCCCCATCTTCCAAGGATTGGCCTCCGCTACCGTCCAAGGCCGAGCCCGATCAGTTCCTGCAGCAGTACCTCAAGATGGCTGGCCTCTCCTCGGACTCTACGGCGCTGGAGCTCGCTCACCAGTTTGAGGAGGCGGCGGAGCGGGTCAAGCCCAAGCCCAAGGCGAAGTGCCCGTACGTTGTCTTGCGTGAAGCGACCTCGCTCTGCGCTCCGAAGCAGGCCAAGCTCGCCAAGGCGTCCAAGCAGCTCCTGTCGGCGGAGGCCTGGCTGGAGGAGTGCAGGGGGCGCCAGCTCGTGGCAGCGGAGGAGCTCGTCGAGGCGGACCAGGCCCGCTTGGTGGCTCAGGAGGCCACGCTGGGCGGAGGTGGTGCAGGCGTCAGAGCTGAAGCTGCTGCCACTGCTGAGGTTGGCGGGGCTACCCCGATCTTCGGAGTGGACCCCCAGCTCTTCCAGGACCTGGGCGACTACGAGGAGGAGGACAAGCAAAAGTTGCTGCAGTTCCAGCGCGAGCTCGGCGATATCGCCTCCCAGGCCAAGGCCCGCGCGCAGCAGTTCAAGGAGCTGCTTGCCTCTGCCAAGCAGGCTCTGCGGGCCCCTCGCCAGAGGCGCCGCGCCGAGGGCGGCCAGGCCAGGGCTGACGAGGCAGAAGGCGCTACCTCGGATGCAGCTCCTGCCTCGTCAGTGGCCGACGGCAGTGGCAGCGGCGCAGGATCCCCTGTCCAGCCGTCGGCGGAGGAGCGTGCCAAGCTGGTCGCCTCCATCGCCGCGTCCTCGCGCGAGGCCCAGCGGGCCGCTGGCCGAGGGGAGGTCGCCGCTGAAGGTGCTGCTCCTGGCCGTGGCGCTCCTGCTGAGCCTGCTGCCGCCCGCGATCGCGGGTAGCACGTGCGCCCCAGTCGGAGATGCCGAGGCTTTCTATTCTAACATTACAGGGTGGGGCCCTCAGGCCCGACGTTTCCTCACGGAGGCGTTCTACGATCATTCAGTTGTGGCCCTGGTGGAGACCCATCAAGGGGCGAACGCCCTGTCGCAGCTGGAGACCGACCTCGACAAGGATGGATGGCAATTGAGCTCTACTCCCGCGCGTCCCTCTGGGCGCTCGGTGTCGGGCCCCAGTGGAGGTGAATGGATCCCCACACGGAAGTTCGTTGCGAATTCTTCCTTTCAGCGTATGCGCGCGGCCGCCCGTGCGGAAGGCCGCTAGGACCCCTGCAAAGGGCTTGTCCCGCTCACCCTGCACTTGAAGACGGGGAACGTGGTGGTGATCGCCGCCTACCTGCAGCCTGGCCTGGAGTTCCGCTGCATCAATTATTCACTGCGTGGAGCTCCCCATATGTGCATCTACTCGCATGGACCTGTCCACCGTGAATGTCTAGGCGCAAGAGCTTTCGAATATTAACGGGCTTCAGTTGTGACGGTCTGGACATCAATCTAACTGCGAAGGAATTGGAGTGTGAATGAGCCTCAGTAGTACGAGCGCGTCTCTGTGCATGAGCCTGGGGCCTCCTGGGGCCTCCTGAAACCTACTGGGGCT